CTGAGGAATTCTGGGAGTTGAAGTCCACCCATCTTAAAGTTGCCAAGGTTGAGAAACATTGCTAGAAAGCTTGAAACTGGTACAGTGAGGATAACTATGAATACAGATGGAGCTGTTTTCCTCCAGATTTCAAACCAGGCCACAGACTCAGATTTTCAAACCGAAACATCTAAGTTGTGTCTTTTGTTACTGGCAGTCTTTTAGTAACTTATAGGCAAGCTACCCAACTCAACTTTATTATTTATTAATTCCCCACCCCAGAGTTAGGATACTCCACTTTTCTGGTCTATGAATTTTTTATGCATTTTATGTTTCCACTGATGATTATTAAATGTAAATATATAATAAAATATATTTTCCCCCAAGCATCTGGATCCAGTTAGGTGGAATCCCCTTTTAGTTGTCGAATTATCCAATTTAGTTGCCATTTTATATTTTATATATTGGGTTTTTTAAAAAAAAAGTTTGCTTATTTTTCTTTGTCATTGTTTGTTTCTTTTGTAGGCCGCCCAAAGTCACATTATCCATGAAATAAATAATTACAATGATATATCCATACCTATATTTATCGATCAATCAATCGATAGATGGTTGATCAGTTTTGGTTTGGGATGGAAAAACATCACATTGTGCTTATATCTGAGTAGACCTGCACAGGCTGAATGCCAAGATGGAAGAATAGCAATTCTGTTCACACAAAGAAATATTCTATTTCGCCTAAAACCAAATGGAGGCTCTGTATCATGATGAAGCTCTGTATCATAAGGCCTCACTACATACAGCATTTTTCATAAAAGCTTTTAAGATGGCACGTATTATCTGCATTTTTAAAAAACGTGTTCCCAAAACGTCGAAGCATGCTATCTAAAGTACGGCTTCTTAATCTGAAGAATCTTTCAATCCTAAAAGCTCTTTCCAAAGGACAGAACAGGGTGGGTATTTCACCTGACATAACATAAATACAGCTTCTACTTCCAGTAGCCAAGCTTCATTTATTTTTAAAGAAAAAAACTGAATGAATTAACACCATACCACATCACAATGCAAACAGATCATCTACAACATGATGCAGAATAAGAATGGTAGAGTTAATTCTCCACATCCCCCCCTTAACCCCAAACCATGATATTAGTTCCCTTGGGAATAATGTAAACATTTACAAAATTTTAGAGTTATCAGTACATTATATTAAGACAATGGTGGACGCGATACATTGGCAAGCGATCCAGTTCTCAAAAAGTTGTTCTGAAGCACAGCGTGATTTGGGGAGGGGAGCGAAGGTTCCAAAACAGAAACGGCAGCAGGAGACCATGGTTGGCAGGGTTCCTGGGGTGGGCAGAGCCGTGGCACAGAAATGAGGTGGTCTCATGAGATCAACCCTGCCCAAATGTTTGCCAAGACCTTTGGCTATGGCGTTCTGCTTGGATAATTTAATTTGGAGATCTCATCTAGAAAATTTTCTTCTCTTGTATTAGAATTCCCGCTAGGTACCCAGAGAACAACTGGCCTGCACTGTAATCCCCCCCTTCTGCAAAATAGCCCAACATGAGCAAGATTTATTGTTGCTATTAACTGGCATTAAAGGAGAACATTAGGGGTCTTTGCTGACTGAGACTCCTGCAGAAGACACAGACCCCGTCACAATTTGGCAGGAAGTCTGATCCCAGAAGCCCCACTTTTGAGAAAACACCCAGCCATCTGGGAGTCCACCAAAAGGCTTTGGGGTTGCATGCCTGGGTAACCTGAGTTTCAGGAGCCAGTCACATCATTTCTCCTCCCAGCAGCCAAACTGGGAAGTCCAAAGTACAGGGTAAAAAAGCAACTGGTGGTATTTCGGAAATGTTTAGCAGGGGGCTACTCTGCGGAAATGGACATGGGGCATACCTATAATGTGGACCCTGCAGGATAGCTATTAGCTAGGCAGCCCTTTTTTCTGTGGCTCTAATTTTTCTTCTTTCTTTTAAAAAAAAAAAGCAATTAAGGCAAAGGCAGAGGAACTAAAGCCCGTGTGATGCAACGGCCACGATGTCAGCAAGCAGTTTCAAAGCGGCAGCTGCCTGGCCCTTTGGAACAAGGGTAATGCATTTTAAAATTGCAGGTACCGATTTTTCAAAGCCCACCACCACGTTTGGAATGTATCAAGAAATCTCACCAAAAGAGAGAGAGGCTCACTTTCCATGAATCTATTCCCAAAGAAAGCCCGGTAGAGGTTTTTGGCCTCTAGCATTAGCAGTTTACATTTTCTTTGGCTCACTTGTTAACATATCCTTGAGGGGGAGAACTACGGCGTTGGCCTTTGTATTTACAAAGCAGGCGGTCTTGAAATGAACAAAGAGGGAATCCTTTCAGGGTCACTAAGTATGCAAAAAGGCTGGCTGGGGGTGGGGAGAAACAGACCAGAATCTGTAAAATCGGATAAGGCACATATTACAACCCACTTCTCTGTCCTATCCCTATTCTCCATTCTGCCCAGAAGTGCTTTTTCACATTTACAAATAAACTCAAAACAACATGTCCCCAAAAGTAATACATTCCGCAAAGAAGGAAAGGAAAAGGAAAAAAAAACCATAGTGCAAACCTGCTCCTTGGAAGGAAAATGAAAGCAATGGCTTGAAAAGGCAACCCACTGCTGAGGCACCTGGAAAATGTGTAAGGCCCAGATGGCAGACAGCCCTACCCTAGACCAGGCTGCCCTAAGACAATGCAGAGTCTCAATGCTTTGAAGCAGCCTGGCCCCATCTTCCCCCCTCCAGATATGTGGCCAATACAGCACGTGAGATCCCCAACCAGCCTAGCCACACTAGCTGGGTGTTGCAGCCACACTACACCGGGAAAGAGCCAGACTGGGCAAGGTTGCCCAAGGTAGCACAGCATTAGTGCCTTCCAGAAAGCATCCTCAGGCAAGGAACTGGCTCAAAATCTGGGGAAAGCTTCACATCCCAGGATGGCAGAATTAGACTCATGTGGGGGAAAGGGTGAGAAGAAGGGCACTGATCGGAACGTGGCACCCCAAAGCCATTGGAGAGGAGAGCCAAGATCAAGGCAGAGTTTTGGAAAAAATGGATGAAAACTGCTTTCAGTTGCTGAAATGTCAAACTGGCCCAGCCTGTAGACCAGTATTCCTCAATCTTGGGAACTTTAAAAATTGGTGACCTTCACCCCCCCGCAATACCCCCCCCAATAGCTCCGCTGGGGGGGTTTTGGGGTGTGAAAGACCAAACCTCTAAATACCCCAACATAAG